TCTTGGTAATAAACTAATGTGGTATTGTTTGTATAATATTTTTTTATAAAACAGAGTTGAGTTTGGATATGTAGGAGTTTCTAAATGCCCCAAAAGACCATACAGTCTAAATCGTTACTTTAGAAGCTGGACATGGTAGCTCACTTTATAATTCTAACATTTTGGGAGGCTGAGACAGTGGGTTCACTTGAGGCCAGGAGTTTGATACCAACCTCGGCAACAAAGACCCTATCTGTACAAAAAAATAAGAAAAATTACCTCGGCATATTAGGGCTCACTTGTAGTCCCAGCAACTTGGGATGCCTTGAGCCTGGGTGACAGAGTGAGACTGTCTCTAAAAAAAGAAATTATTACTTATTATAGCTTTGACCATTACATTTTGGGTTTACAAATACTTAGAAAAAATAAATTTGGCAGGAATACTAAGCATATGCCTACCTTATAACTCAGCAAGCCCATGCCTCGCCATATATCCAACAGAAATGACTGCTTCCCTCCATCCAGACATTGTACAAGAATTTTATAAAATCTTTCATAAAAAAGATACGACATGTAACTATACACAACCCAAATATTTATTAACAGGAAAGTGGTAAGTTGTGGCAGAGTAATACAACAGAATACTACACAGCAATAGAAAAGAAAAAACTACTGGTACAGGATGACTCTTGCAGATGTTATGTTGATGAAAACAAAGCAGACATCAGAAAATGTGTTCTGTGTGATTCCAGTATCAGAAATTCAAGATCAGAAAAAATAATCAATGGTGATAAACATAAAAGTAGTGATTGACTTGACAAGGTGTGAGGAGTGGGAATAGTTGGCAGTGGAGGGACTTGAGGTTTCCTGTACACTCATGGAACCACCACCCAGGCCAGGGTGTGGGACCTTCCAGTTCTCTTCCAAAGTCCTGTCTTGATCTGGGTATGATTATAAGAGAAAAATCGTATACATACATACATAAGATTCATCAAGCTGTATACTTAAAATTAGTACGCTTGGTGTACTTTGTCTGTCTTAATTCTTAAAAAAGTAAGAAATTGAATAAATGCATGCAAATGGATGTACATAAGAAGCTTAAGACTAAAACACCAAACTCAGCAATTATAAACGACTAAGAATTTTAAGTGAAAGCCAATCCATTACTTTCATGCTGTCCCACCAAAGGGTTGGCCACCAGTGGACACATCATCTTTCATATTTATAAAACATCAACGGTTTTGTCAGTCACATTTTGTTTTGAAAAATTTAGTGGTTTAAGCCTATTACCTGTGCTAGCTTTGTATAAAATATGTAAGCTTCATGATACTACTACTTATTGTACGTAAAAAGTTACTATGACTTATTGATTCTTAAGACAGTAGGATCATTTTCCTATGTCAACATTCCAAATCACAGTGTGTCTGATAATGAGTGGTGTGTCATAGTTTAATTGGCAGCATTTTTCCTTTTTACTAGTACACCAAATAATGATACTTCTAGTAGTGAATGGATGACATCTTAGATTTGATGAAGTAAGTTAGCTTGACAGAGTTATTATCAAAGCCGTAGTCTTTTATATGGGTCATGTGCGTGATGGGCGTTGTAAAAGGGCAGCTGTACAGCAATACCGATATAGTATTGCCAGATCTGCTAATTTTTTGAGAAAAGCCAGAAAATCCAATTTATTATATAAAATGTAATGACCTGTAAATGTTGGCTAAAACTGTGTCCGGTGGATCTCACCTGCGGCTGCCTATGAGCTCTGTGACTGTTGTGTGTGATGTGTACCATAAATATTTAGAATGGGATTTATTATGTAGCAGGTATTCAACAAACATATTTTATGAATAAATAAAGCTAGCATTAAATCTGACCCATGCAGAACAGTATTTGGAAAAATAGAAATATGTACAATTTATAAATGCCACATCTGATAATATGGAAAGAATCCATGGCATAATTAGCTCTAAGTAGGGTCTTTTGATATATTTGGAAATTCATGGAAAATTTCTGTGTGGGAGAAAATCCTTGTATACTGTTCCCTACTTCATCTTCAGACCACAGATCACGTCTCTTTCTGGAAGTCCCTTTCCCGAGAGTCCTACTGCCCTTCCCTCCCGTCTTGGCCTGGCTGCCATGGCAGCGTGGGCTTGTCCCCATCGTCAGCCTTCTGACGTCCTCATCTTTATTTTGGGGGCTAGAAACTTCCTAAGGGCACAGAGTAAGCATTCCACCAATGATTATTATTTCGGTGGTGTTGACTTGTGAAAGTAACGTTTTCTCCAGTGTCCTACTTTGCATTTTCTGGACTAACTTTCAGTTTTGCACCAATATCCCACCATTGCCACACTTCTATATTCAACAAATATTCTTAGAGCCTCTGTTAGGACTAAGTCATAGTTGTGACCTGCAGAAACACAAAGACTGAGCAGACAATCACATATGAATAATTGTGTGTTAAATTCCACCATAAAGAGAGAAAATGTGCTGTCAGAATACTCGGGGCATTCATTATGATTTAGAGAGTCTGGGACGGGAAGGACTTAGATCCCTGCCCAAGGTTAGCATTGAGGGAGGATTTTCTCCTAAGTAGGGGGCTAGCTTTCAGAACAACTCCTTCATTGTGATGGTTCAGGGGCTGCAAAATGGGTTCTGCAAAACACTGGGCAACTCTCCCACACAGGCACCTGTGTGCTTGGCAGGAAAGTCACTGATGACTCCATACAAGTGGGGGAGGAAGAAAATATTATGTGGGAGGCAGGTGAAGAGGAATAGTAAGTGCTCACTTCCATTCATATGTTTTAGTAATGACAAGAAATAGATCTTAGAGGAGACGGCATACTTTTTCAAGATGAGAAAGATCTGTACATTTTTAAATCAGAGAGTAAAGAATTACTACTGGAAGGCCAGATTAGGAGATAGCTAAGGGATAAATATTGGAATAAGATACTTTGTATCATGAAATGATCTGAAGTAGATCACAGGGAGAGGGTTTAGTCTCAAAAGAAATAACTGTTAAATGTAGGGAATTGAAAAAGTGAGATTAATCACACCGTAATCTTTATGCTGGTACCATTGGGGAACCATTTTAAATAAAATACTCTGCCTCAGCCCAAATAGGATCAGAGGCAGGATCCACTGAGAAAACTGTACAGAAGATTTCTGGAAATTATATCACTTTCTTCACATTTTCTAGTTTGATTTTAATGTTTCCTTTTCAGAAACAAAATTAGAGTCAAGCAAAGCATGTTTGCTGATTCATTCCTTCAGTAAACATTTAAAGACTACCCACTAATGCAAGGCACAGGTCTGGAGATTAAAACATGCTGAATTTTACCCCAAGCTCCTCACTTGCACTCGAGTCTGTTTTCTGGAGGAATAAAAACACAAGCAATAGTATCCATTGTTAGAGAGACTTTAGCTGTTCCTGATACATGAAGCTAGGTGTTGGACATTTGCTAACCAGGGCAACTTTAACAATCAAATTACCACCTTTTATTCCAAATAGTTCTCGAGAGTTTATTGTTAATAACATGAGCTTACCCAGAAATGGTCTCTTTCCCCTTTTATAATCATAAATCTTGCACTGGGGAGATGAAGTATGATGATACCTATGTGAATACAATTTAGGTAAATAGTCACACTTTGCATATGAGTGGACACCATGCAAATAGATGTATACATTAGAATTGGACAGCACTTAAAGAGATTTAATAATTCATCCCATTGCCTCTGCAAATAAAAGAACCAAAGCTGCATTTATGCAACTGCTAAAATATGGCAGGTAATGATGCATGCATGTTTAATATTGCTAATAAATTTGAAAGTTCACATTTTTATTGATGAACATTTTCTTGAAATGCAGTCTAGGAAGACAGACTGTTAAATTTAAGTACTTTATAAATGAGTATTGTAGCTGGTGCTGTGATTAGTGGTAGTGCTCTGTCCAGAGCCATCTCCCGACTTACCTGCACTCCTTCAAGCACTGACTTTCATATTTCACTTTTATGTGCAACCAAATTGCACACAATTTTAGGAAAAAAAATTATAGTAACAGAGTAATGATCATAGTAAATATTGTGTTTCTCCTTGTTGACTTAAATTACATACTTGCAATATTTCAGAAAAATATTTCTGTTAGTCCAGCTTCATATATTCAAATATTTTGCATGTAGAATTTACATATGAAAAGTACTTCAGTCTCTTAAAGATTATCTCTTTGACACACACAAAAAAGGTATATTGCACAGTTCAGTTCGAGGTCTAAAATTATTTTTATTCATTGGAAACTATAAAATCTCATTAATATTTCCATATGCATGCACATTAATGAAATAATGTATAGCACAGAATACCTACAGAATTTTTTCCTTTTTGAGTGAATTCTTCCCAAATTTTCAGAAAAAAAGTCAACAGAAATGAATTTATACCTTATAACCAGTCCTCTAAAACTATCTCAAGAATAGCTAGCAAGCTCAAATATGGTAACAAAATTTTTATCATATTTAATTATTAAACAAAAGTCTTAATATTCTTTCTACTGATTGTTCTCTGAGTTGATTGGAGCGTGCACTTTTCTGAGTTGTATATTGTGTCATTGGTGGACTTTATGTGTCATTCTTTTTTCCCATTAAGATTCCAGAAGCTTATTTCATTAGAGATCCCCATACGTTCCTTCTTACAAAGGACTTTATTAAGGTATACGTGTTCTATTTAGTATTAAAAGTGTTCTTTGATTTAAGCTGCATGCATGTATCCACAGGTTAGCATTTTCACATTTAACCCCAGCTTCTAGAAGTAAGAATAGTGACTTGGTTAACTGAAGCATGTTTGGAAGGAGAGGCAAAGCTTGTCTACAAAATACTAACCCTTGGATGATTCTGCACCCTGAGAAAAGAGCACCGGTGAATTTTCTGGACGCTGTTTCATGGCTGACTGGGATACACTTGCGTTCTCAGAGTGTGCTGCCTCTGCCTTTGATGCACATTGATCTTGACAGTCACCCTCTCCCCCTGCAGGCCATGGAGGCACAGATACAGAATTTTGGACAGACGCCATCTCAGTTGCTTATCGAGCCACATCCGCCTCGGAGTTCTGCCATGCACCTGGTAAGACAAACCAGCATGTTGAGATTCTTTTTTTCTTTCCTTTGTACCTGGGTAAAGAGCAAATAAAATAGTGATTTTAGCAGCCTATTTTTAAAGGCTTCTCGCCTTATTGATACTGTTTAGCTTAAGTACTTACTGATACCCCACAGAGAAACAGAGAAGGGAGTATCATTCTTACCTGTAAGTCCTGGTTAGGTAGCCCAATTTGGGGTTCTTCTGAAGCTGTGCCTCAGCGGAAGCTTATTCATGCACACACAGACATGGAGACTCATGCTGGCATCAAAAATTCAATTTGGTTTGTAATTTACAGTGAAAAACATAAACACAAAACAGTATTGCCAAGTTTGGGGGGCAGGTAGGGTTGGGGAGTAGTTCATTTTAAGAAAAAGGAAGAAATATAAAGGTAATTTATGGCTGCTGCAGAGAGGCTGTTGAACAGAGCGTTTGCCCCCGAGGCAGACTTGGGCCACACTCCAGCTCTGCTCTGGCTAGTAAGTGACTTGGGCAAGCTACTTAATCTCTCTGGGTTTGTGTTTCAGCAGCATCTGTAACTTACAGGTAAAAACAATGCCTGCTGCTGAGGATTTAAGAACTCAGTACTGCGTACCACTTAGACCAGCACTGTCCTACAACAGGTCTTAATAAATGCTCACTGACATAATTATTAGCCACTGTGTCAAAACCCTTTATTCCCATTTTGAAAGGGAAAAAGTTATATTCCTTTCATTTTAATCTGAATTTTAAAAGTCCATTTTCATAACAAAACGGCCCTTTTCCAATTGATTGGCAAATGATAAACATTTTCCTCTGTATCTAATTTAAAGAAAGTAAAAAAGTTTTCTGACAAGCTGTTAGGTTAGACAATTAGTTAGACGCGAGCAGGGTGGATGGTTCAGGTGGTTAGGTTAGTTTGGACTGGCTGGGTCAGGCTGGGCTGAGCTGTTACAGGAACGGGGCCAGTTGAGATCTCACAGGTGCACAACCTTACAAGTGGGTTGTTGGGGGAGCTGGTGGTTTGGAGGGACTGATTAATGTCTTAGGGACTTTCTGACAGGGACAAACAGATGTGGCTGTACTGCCTTGGGTTCTTTTTGGAACAGCCCAATTAGGACCCTAAGGAGAGGGCTCCCAAGAAAGAACAGATGATGTATCAAGGGTGTCTCCATGGACTGACCAGTCAGAAAGAGGCAAGAAAGCACAAAGTAGAAACATTGTCAAGGCCTAGATAGAGGGTCTTTGGAGCACTTACATGGTGGCCCTAACAGTGTCCCTAACTGAGCTACCCTCAGTAACATAGTAGAAATCATGCCCACCAGCGTCATGACAGATTACAAAGGCCATGACAACCAACCCCCTGAAATTGCCTTCCAGGGTAGAAAAGGAGAGGGTTCCCAATTCCAGGAACTCTCCACCCTTTTCCAAGCAAGAAAAACTATGAATATTCCACCCCCCACACACACTTAACATAAAATTAGGGAGTCAGCATAAAAACAGAAATCTTGTCAAACTCAGTGTCTCCTCCACTTGCAGGGGCAGACCCAGTCTTTCTTTGGAATGTACTGTGCTTTAATCTCTAGGAAAACTTTGGCACTCTGCCTGCTTGCACCTGCTTGCTCTGCTCAATCATTCTGTCAACTCAGTACCAGTAACCGTTCTTGGTACTGGGAATGAAGAAACTGGGAACACGGAGACCTGACAACTGGTTACTCAACACCTAATGAAACTGCCTTAGAATTTATTTTTATTTTATTTTATTTTATTTATTTATTTATTTTTTGAGACAGAGCCTCAAGCTGTCCCCCTGGGTAGAGTGCCGTGGCATTACAGCTCACAGCAACCTCCAACTCCTGGGCTCAAGCGAGTCTCCTGCCTCTGCCTCCCAAGTAGCTGGGACCACAGGCGCCCGCCACAACGCCCGGCTATTTTTTGGTTGCAGCCGTCATTGTTGTTTTGGCGGGTCCGGGCTGGGGATTCGAACCCGCCACCTTAGGTGTACGTGGCTGGCGCCTTAGCCGGTTGAGCTATAGGCGCCGAGCCAGAATTTATTTTTAAAACTGATTTTTTCCACCAATTTTTACTGAAGTAAAAAATGCTTGATGGTTAAAACTTGTTTACAAAAGAAATCAGGTTGTGTAGGTTGTTATCAGCACAACAAGTATAATGTTGGCATAAAGAAATCTAGAATGTGCTCCATAATTTATTTACCAACAAATTTATAAGCTGTTATTTTGTGATGGAAGCACCGTTCACACCTTTCACTTACTCTATCAGTTATTTAACAGATTTTTATAGAGACCTCTTATGTGTCAGATATGATGATGAGTATTGGAGGCACAGAGACAAATACATCTTCTAAACCTTCAAAGAATCACAGAAATAAATCTGCTTGTTTTTAAACATTTTTTTTCTACAGTAGCTCAAGCCAAACAGCTTCAGTGCCTTGATTAGTCACTAATGAACTCTTCTGACTGCAGTTGGTCCAGAAGTGGGCAAAATAGGAAGGTTTGCCCAACTCAAGTGGTTCCCGTGGAAGCCTCAGCCACAGTGTAGCCAGGAGAGGTGGCTTTGGAGCCTCAAGCTTTGGGATGAAGCATTTTGAATAAACTGTCCGGGAGAATATCTCTTAACACTTCATTTTATGAAATGGCTTGGCAGGAGAATTTTATTCTCATGTTAGTATTCTCTGTTTAATAACAATAATAATATTTATCCTGGAGAAATGCCCAGTCAAAATTCCTTCCTTTCTAGAGGAAATTGTTAAGAGACTAAATTGGCATGGAACCATTTATAGAGAAAATCTAAGTTGATGTAGCAGAGAATTCATATTAATAGCAAACAATTACAAAATACATATGAAACCCAAATAATGATTATTCCCAGCATCTCCACTGTGTGTGTACTTATGTAGTAGTATTTATAGGGTTTTGTAGTCCTTACAGTATGTACATGATTTTCTATCAAGTCATATGTTAGATGCTTGAAAAACAAAAGTTAAAGAAAGCAGGAAGAAAAATGCTGGCCATCACTAAGCTCGCAGTCTAGAAGGGAGAAAGGTGCCCTCAACCATGAAGTCCGTGCCGGGGCAGAAACCCGGGCAAGGCAGTGGCAGGGGAGCACTGGGGCTGCTGTATGAAGGCTAATGTATTTTAGTTATTTAGACTCTAGTTATGACCCCAGATCAACCAGATAGAATTGAAAGTATTAGTCGATCTGCTTTGTATTTCATGTAAACAAAGGCAGTAAGTGATTTGAGTAATTTTCTGCCAAACTGATTTTTTTAACTGCATTGGATAATTCTGTTGCATCACATAGACTTACCTAAGAGCTGACGTCACCTCGTACTCTGAAGATATTTTAGTTGAGGCTGGTTGTTGATGAGTCTGTGTCTCTAGATGGGAGACTTCACAGAGTCCTTGCCCTCTGCGCCCTGGGCCCTCCTCAAGGCTGAGCTATTAGAGCTGGGGAAGGCTGGGAGGGAAGTTCAGGCAGCTTTGACCCGCGTGTGTCTGCGTGCCCTCACTGTCCCACACATTTCACTAACTCTATCATTCCTTTTGTTTTCCTCTGCTCTCTTCCCTTTCTATTCAACAGTGTTTCCTTCCACAGAGTCCCCTCATGTTTAAAGATCAGATGCAACAGGATGTAATAATGGTGCTGAAGTTTCCTTCAAATTCCCCTGTAACCCACGTGGCGGCCAACACCCTGCCCCACCTGACTATCCCTGCAGTGGTGACAGTGACCTGCAGCCGACTGTTTGCAGTGAATAGATGGCACAACACAGTAGGTAGGTGTGCCTAAGTGAGTTGCTTCCTAAAGATTTCTTAAAAGCTACAGTAAAGGTAGGAAGACTGTGCTGGGAGTTAGCTCCTGCGCCACGTCATCTGTGGTGTTACCTGTCTTACTCACTGCTGCTCACTTACTGCTGTGTGTCAGTGTCATTAATGCCTCACAGAATGCTTGGCTTGTAGTTACGTACTCAATAAGTATTTGATACACTGAAGCAGTTCTGCAAAATAAGTCAGGTCCTCCCTCCTATTCTCCCACCGCCCCCCCCCAAAAATACTGAATATTTATCTCATATTAAACAAAAATGAATTTAAATCTGAATTTTGATGGCTTCAAATACTTTTCTTCCATATCAGTAACTTATTTAGCAAATATTTAAATGTCTAGTATGTTTCAAGTGGTCCTAAGGACTGGGAAAATATAGCAGTGAACAAGACAGGTACCATCTTTGTTATTGTAGAGCTTTGGGTCTGTGAGCAAAGACAAAAATCTAAATTGTTCAGTGATTTCACATGTGTTTTCTCCAAACTCAGTACTAGAAGTTCCAGACAGTTCTCTTGAAGTGATATAATGCTGTCACAAAAATTTTGACATACATGGCATTTAATACTTACCTAACCAGGGCAGAAGTAGATGTAACCAAATGACTTAGTTGGGCCAGCTCACCACTTAAGATTCCTAGAAGTCCCAGGACTCCCACTGTCTCCAGAAATGAATAGATGGGTCATGCTGAGGTTGCCTGAATATTTCTATTCTACTGACCTCTGCATTGCTCTGAAAAATATGGTGGTTTGCACAGGAGCTTTCTCTCTTCAGAGTTTCTAGGTGCACCTGCATTATGGTCCATGGAGATTCCAACATGAGGCAGCACGACTTCCATTTGATGAGAAATATGAAGTAAACACACATCTTAAGGAAAAATTATGACTTCATCATTCACAGGAGTCTTAGTCTGTAGAAATGTTTTGCATTGAGAAAAAAACTGTGAAGGATAAAATTGTTGCCTTAAAATGGTTCAAAAGTATTATATGTTATATAATCACCTATGAAAAATTATGACTAATAAACTCAATCAAGCCCTGAAAACTAATCCCTTAAAGGAGATTTTAGTGCAATTGAGATTTTAGGTGTGGCCCAATTTTATACCTTCAGTTTGCTTGGCACATACTGGCAGCGGCCCCCAGAGTGGGGGCCCCAGCTTCTGCTGCCCTGCCCCCAAGCCTGGGCCCACACCTACCCCTGCCCAGAGCACAGCCTTTTTTTTATTTCAGGCTCATTCATTGCTCACTAACCTTAGCTTTCTGATGGGTTCAAGAAATGTTATGATTTTCCCTTTCATCCAACTTCTTTTATCATTATTATCAGGATGGAAACAAGAGTCTTTCCAGCTTTCTGCATCTTAAAAGGAAACTTAAGGCCCCTTGTGATGATTTTTTAAGGATCTCTACAGACATAAT